GAAGCTTGTTTTTGTGCGGTTTTACTGAATTCAACACTGCACAGAGTCCGTGTATATTTTGCTGTAATCAAGAGATATTTATTTACCGCAGGTCTGAAAGTGTTGACTGTTATTTGTTTTTTTTTGTTTTTTTTTTTTTTGTAAGAGGTTTGCAGCCTATTTTAACCTTGCATTTGCCCGTCCACATACACTATTTGGCCGTGCGTGGAACGTATCCAATCCAGCAAAGCAAGGGGTGAGCTGGTACAGTAGGAAGGTGAACTGTACCAAATAAATGTTTGTGGCAGTGACCAGGATCCGAACCCACGACATCGCTGCCAAGTCCGTGACACTACCGATTGAGCCACCGACTCACCTAAACAAAACATATAACAAGACAAAACAGCTACAGTAGACCCTCTTATCCGGACACCTTTTTAAGTGGACTGTACTCGGTAGAAGTGATATCACTTTAACCAGACAATTTTTATCAGAACAACTATTCAACCAGACTGGATCAGTAGTAAGTGAGAGAGGTACTGAAACGTCTCTTCTCATGGGAAAGATTTCAGATCAGTGATCACTACTGAAACCACAATGCTACTAGAATATCATAGCTCACTGATGAAAAATATATTTAGTGAAGACCATTGCACTTACTTCAGTTGACAAAAAAGCAGAATATTCCTCAATGTTGATTTTCGGTAGATCAAACTGCAGAATACCACTAACGGCTTGCTTTATACTTCTTGACCACATTGGCGTTTCCGATGACATTTCTAATTTGGAAACCTTGAACAGTAAATATACTGAGTGTAATAGGCACATGAACAAAAATATTTGAGTCAATTGCGACTATCGACTTTGAATAATCCTTAGATAATTCTCTGTAAACATTTCCAAAAATACACGTTTTTAATTGTTCTGAGATATGTTGAATAGACAAACTATATCCATGCAACCCTCAACTGAGCATATTATGTTATTTGAATAAATCTCTGATTTTAGTAATAAATCATTGTACTAATCACCATTGTGTTAACCAATAACATGATCAATTTGAAAGCTTCATATGAAATTATAAAATTATGATCAACCACGTGTCATTGTCATTCCAATTAGTGCATACATCGGACTATTTGGTTGAATAATTATTGGTTAATATGAATTCGGAAATAATTGTTAAGAAAATATTAAAATATTTCAAATTAAATTTTGACAATTGTACTTAGCGCCCTCCCCACTTCTGATTGTTATTAGAGTTAAATAATGATTAAATACAGTGCTCGATTTGCGGCGGAACGTGCCTTACAGTGTTCCAGTAAGTACATCTCTTTCGGAAGGGAAAAAAAATCATAAAAATAGGCACATGGCTTTGAACACAAAGGAGTGTATTTAACCTTTCTCTCACTTAAGTATCCAAAGTACAAAGTTTTAAGGCATATTAGTTGTGAGGTGTCAAAATCTAATGAAGAGAGAGATTTGTATTTGTGCCAATAGCCAAAGTGTAAAGTGTGCTGTATACTTCCAATAATCTGAAAGGCAATCAAATGTTACATACAGCTTATTCCATAAAATCACAGTTTAGTATTCTTACTGTAGTTTGAGTTCTTTATACAATAATGATCATGTATTATCCGGTTATATTTTATAGCCAAACACCATTAATTCTTACCTGACCATCTTTGTAATATATATCAAACGGTTGATACAATGTCGCTGCATTGTCTGGTAGTTTGGATATTTTCAACTTCTTTTCAGCCGCTACATCACCACTATACGAAACAAACTTCAAGTTGACAAACTGGAACAAATTAAAACAAGAGATTTAGCAATTAATTATAGAAGTTTAGAAATATGCATTGTTATTGGAACAGAGCAATAAGAGATGCACCAAGTATAAAATATTGTACTACGGATGTTTTGATAAAATATTCTTAAACCACGAACACACACAACTAACGCTGTGAAAACTCTTCACGTATATTTAAAAATACAAAATTCAAAAATAAAATGTACATTGTCGATTAGATTACGGCTTGATATTTACATCAACTACATCAGTTGGGGTCTAAAAACTTGCAAGACTTTAATAAACTCAAAGCAGCTAAAAAATTTGATTATAATAATGGGTCTTGTCTTATTAGTCTTTTTCAAATTTATTTACAAACCGTAAGATTAAAGTCTTTGGAATAGATAAAGATCAATTTATTTTATCACTAGGTCCTAAAAACAACTCTTTTTGACACAAAGTTTAAGAAAAAGGCGAAGCCAAAATTGAGCAAGGGTGTAAAAGACACTTCCTGGCAAGTGTGATGAACAACATTTGTTGTCATACTGCGCCATTAACTAAATCCAACAAAACCTTACAATACCTGTACTCTGGCTCTATTCTTGAATCCCTGCACTTTAATATTTCCAGTCAAATTGAACTGAGACACAAACGGTGCCGGAGACTTAGTTCCAGTTGTAACCACTGCAGAGTAGCTGTACAGAACCTCTTGCCCCTCGGGGTAAAGTCCTGTAAATAAATAAAAAATTTTCAACCAATATGTATATCAAGCAAGTGTATTCTTGTCATTTTGAACAAGTCCACAGTAAATTTGTTCTTTTAAGGTGGTATTATTTGTAATTTGGTGTTTGAGATAGAGAACTAACAGCAGGATATTTTGTCGGTGGCTAAATTGAACTAGCTCCTTTTCTATCCTCAATCTGGCTCCAGCGTTAATCGAGGAATGCCTACTTTACTTAATCTAGTCAAAGATTACTTTATTCCCTGAAGAGTAGGTACCAACAAAAATCTGGAATCTAAATTAATGACAAACTTCTTTATTAAGGAGGTACTCTAGATATTCAACAGGGAACAATGATAAGAGAATAATCTCCATAAATAATTCAGAAGATTATAATTCTTAGCTATAAAAAAATTTTCATTATCTCCTTATTTCCAGCCCTTGTTGGCAATTGCTAGTAGTACCCTGATCAAATTGAATTCAATTAAAACATTGTGTCATGGTGATAACAATAAAACTACCTCCCACAAAATGTTACCTTTAAATGTGTTCTGTGGAACTTCATTATTTTGCAACAGTTTCTGCTGTCGATAGCTGTAGTCCATGCCAGTACAGCTCAATGTGAATTGTTTTGAGTGAAGTTTATCTTTTCCTGCAAACATTTAACGGGGAAAAAATGCATCAACATAATAAAACTAAAACAGTTTTAAGTTTCATAACTGTTAACCCTGTATCCTCTCCTCTTAAAACAAAAGTAAACATTTTGGAATTAATAACGCACAGTGGGTGGTTTTAATATTTTAAATTGCATTTCTAAGTAATATTTTTATACATTTAGCCTCCTCTCTACTTGGTTAATAGCTGTGTTAATTGTAACAGTTTTGCCTACACTAATTTTTTGTTTCATTATTTGGAAGTTTGTTAAGTTCAATAAATTAAAATGACGATGACAGTTCAAAAATTGTTAAATTGATTGTACAGTGTCTTTTTTATCCAATGGATATTTTGTTAGCCAAAAAGTATTCCCTCCAAAACACAAGTCCAACTGAAAATAGGAGACCAAAAGTAGTAAAAAAATGTTGTAATAAAAAAATCTTGGTATAAAATTTTTTTTGGGTGTATGGAATTTAAATGAAAATGGATAGGTATCCAATATTTCCCCCATTTATAATTTTTACTTACCTATCAGTGTGCTGAAGACACCAACAATTTGGATGATACCTAAAACAAAACACTTTTATATTTTGAAATACTTTAGTTGCAAAATTATTGATTTAAAAAGCATATTTTTGGCCAAAAATATTTTTATGGGGAAGCACAGAAGTTTTTTAAGGTACAACTAAAATGTTGGTTTCATAAAAATTTTTTAGACAAAATATTTCTTTAGCTATAAAGCTTTGAATTGCTTGTATTTAGTCAGTTTGTCAAATAAAGTAAAATTTAATCATGTTACGAATGGTTTCAGTTCATAATATTCCTTTTTCACTATGTTACCCACCGTTAAACATAATTATAGATAGTTTAACAACTGCATTTAAGATTTTAATAACAGATTAGTACATAAAAAGCATTTCATCTCAAATGTAATATTTAGTTATCTAATCCAAACATAAAATTAATTATAACAACAATTTACAGTTTCTCAACGTGATACCAATAAGTACTAGGTAAAACAATATTTATGTTCAGTAACTAAATTTTAGTTTCTGAATATTTGAGGCAAATTTTTACAACACGTTATCAAGCTTTGTAAGACTCCAGTAGATAGATGACATTTAAAATGGTTTTAACATATAGTTATAACTACAGGTTTATATATTCTAACACTAACCTACAAACACATCTACCAGCTTCATGTTGAATACACCTCAGACTCCTTTCACCAAGTTCATACGGTAGTTATCTCAAACAAAACAAACAAAGTTTCTTATCATCAAGTTCATTGTCCCTGATAATGACTGTCAAATTTTAGTCAAGTAATTATATTTTGCATTTGAAATTTAACAGTACTTAAAATGTGTGTAGTTTTGAGTTAAGTGTATTGACAGAGTAAAAAATATTAACGGTAAATAGGGAAAACATTACAGACTAATCAGAAATCATAGATAGATAACTTGTTTCTCTCAAATCATTTTACACACACATAAAATATTTCAAGTAATACGTTGCAATTTTTCCTTTTTTATACGAAATTATAGCATTTTTGATTTCAATATGTCATTATTTTCATAATGTATGACTATGTTTAACAAATCATCACACAGTGTATGTTCTGCTTTGATTGAGCTTTCTTCTGATAAATACATTGCCATATCCGAGAAAACTTTCAGAATAAAGATATTTAGAAAAATTTTACTACTATGCACATATTCCATACAAGACCTATTTTTTAAATTTATTATATTTTTAAGTACTACTAAAACTGTTATTTAAACGCATGTAAAAACAACTTAATGAGTTAAAAAACAAAAACAAAATATAGCTACAAACAGGGAATATGAAAACATGTGAAGAGCAAAATGGTATTTATTTATAATTTTAATATTATACTGAGGCTGGAGTTAGGAAGGCTTGGTCATTTTAGGTGAGGAGAGACTGCTCGCTATCCCATCACCGAGCTGTGGTTGAACGTCTCGCTCCTTCTGCCTACTTCTCGCCAAACTCTCGGCATTGGACACTCGTCTAGACGGTCGAGGCTGCAGCCCACTTTTAGCTACCGCACTGTCGTCTGATAAGAACCCTGCAACACATTAGTCGACAAAATAAAGTACCATATCAAGGTTGACAGTACAGTAAAACCTTGATAACTAGACTATCTGTAGACCCAGAGGTTGTCGAGTTATCCACAACATTGAAATTTGTAATGGATTTTAATACATGGATAGATAGCTTACTAATTTCCCCATACTTACGTAAGTATTTTACATATTGAGTCAAAAGGTTCTGATGATTCTATAAAAACAAGAAGTCTAGCCATTTATTGATCATATAAAGTAGCGCGTAATACATAGATCTGATCAAGAATGCTTTCAGTTTTAGAGTACAGTTTATATTTAAAACCAGTGCTCGAACGCAGCAATATTGGCAAAAATGGGTACATAAATATGTAGGGCCTACGGTACTAATCACATGTGTTATAATTCCGGCACCTCACTTTTTACAAATCGAGCTCTGCTTAAAAAATCATTCTTTTGAGAAGACATTACCTGGTGAATGTACAGGCACTTGCATCAAAGAGAGGGTTAAACTCTTAGCTCGAGGGATCGCTTCTTTCCTGACACTGGCCGACACGGACTGTCTCAGAGCTGGAGGCAGATGTTCAGCTATACCTGTATGATAACAATCACTTAAACACAAATACAAGCGACAAGAAAATCATGTAAAGGCTTGCTACATTTGCTGATTATATTAAAACTGCTGGTATTAAACTTTTTCTGTTAGCTTAACACTTAAAATCAAAATCATCCATTATCAAATGCTAGTCATGCAAAAGAGGTAATATTTTTAGATGTTCAAAACCATCCTTTTCAACCAAAATCACATTTAACATTGATAGTCAGTTAAGTACTTGATTATCCTTCCATTCTGAGGTAAGAACTTTAAATATTTTAATTAAGAAAAAATAAATTCCATTTGACGGTCTGAAAAAGCAAGGAAGTGTAGCTACGAATATAATTTTAAAATGTTTCATAAACAATTTTCTTTTGATTTAACTAAAACCTTTACAATACACTATACAAATCGATATAAGATGTCAAAACAAAGAAATTTAGACAATTCGTACCCTGGTCTCCATAAGGTCCATTCAGGAGTCGTTTATTGTTCGTACAAAAGCGCCAATCGACATATAAAATATGCTAATCAAAATGTAATTTCATACAAAAATATTATCCCATTATTAAAACGATATCTGTCGAAATAAGACTAACAGTAGCAGGCTTGAAGACACAGAAATGTTGCTGATTATAAAACTAATCATATTCAAGCCAAAACTCACTAGCTATGTCATCACTGAAAGGAGTCTGGTCCTGGTTGACTTTGGATAATTTCTCCTTTCTTTCTTCTTTCACCGATTCAAACCGATGAATGAATGATCTTGTGATGTCATTGATGTCTTTATCATCCAGACTAACTGTAAACAAATCTTTATATAGTTATACATATACTTGTACTATAAATATGTATTACTTCTTGATCAGTTTTTGTCAATTTTGGAACACAGGCTGCTACTGTGTTTTCGAAAGTGCAAAAAACCACTGGCCGTATGTACAAATGTGTTATTGGTTATTTAAACAAATTTTAAATTTTAAAACAATTTTAACCAAATGAAACAATATATTCACAAATGACTGATGAACTGGTATTGCATTATTATTTGAACAGAGGGAGTCCTCGAATGCTGTTCCTCCTCAAACTGAACCCTCCACATTAAAAAAAAAAAAAAAAAAAAAAAAACACACATACACACACAGCAAACAAACAACAACAAACACATTCAAAAGCATTCAGTTCAATCTGAAAAATCTAACATTGGATTTTAACTAAAAGTTTGTATCCTGAAACTATTTATTGTTTCAAAAATATCCATACAATTTTCTTAGAGAAGAAAGCTTAAATTTAACAAATTATTAGCAAATACAATGTTTCTTACCGAGACAATTTGTGCTTGCTATAATCTTGTCTCTGTATTTGGGAATCCTTACGATTTCATTACCACGGAAGTCTATATTTAAGATTCTCGGCCACTGGCAAATGACCGAGCAGACGGCTGGTAAGTCCCTCAGCAAGTTGTTGCTTGCATTTAGTTTTTCAATGGCCTTCAACTCTTTTAGATCACTTATTGATGAAATATTGTTACCCGAGATGTCTAGTATCCGTAGACAGCGCTGAAACAACAGATTTTATAATTATGTTTTTTTATCCATGTTTCTAGCCCCCTTGATATAATGTTAGATTAATCACTAACACAATTCCCATCAGACAGTTCAAATAATGTACTTTTTAAGGGCATGTTTTGGTGTAAAAAAACCAAGTCAACTTCAAGTACTTGTAAAGTTACTCCGTTGGAAATCTGGTCATGTAGGATGAACACAATTTGAACAAAATACCCCCCACTGCAGCAAACACGCTGTTTAAGCAAATTTTCATTGTCTGATTGGTTTTTCACTAAAATATTTCCCTTTATCAGACTGATTCTGTATTTATACAGGGGTGGGCTGAAAAAAATCAATAATTTCTTTTCGAGTTGTAATACCTTTGAAAAGTTGCAAAATTGTAAGACCAAAACAGGGTAAATGTAAATATATTAAAAATATCGGTCATTTTTTTCTGGTCACCCCCTAGAGTTAGAGCAAAAAATGAAAAACTCGATTTTTTCAGAAATTTTTATAATTTTTACATTTTCAATTTTTAATAGTTGAAAATATCATCTACAAGACACTACAAGAGGAATTGATATTCCAATAATATTATTGTATGTAAAGATCTTCCGGTCACGCATCGGCGGTAAATATAGCCAAAAATCAAGAAAAACGTCATTTGGTGCTAGATTTATTTGAAATATAATTATCGATAACAAAATTTAATACCAAAAATCTGCTACACATTCAGATAGTCATTTAACAAAAACAACAAATTCAGAATTGATCTTCCAGGCGTGCATAGCAATACAAAATTACTTGAACACGGTACTATCGGGTCAGTGACCCGAACGACGTCATGTGGTTTCGAAGTTTAAGTTTCCAACAACAGGATGTTGATGATACAGTAATGTATTCCTGTGCTCGCCAACTGAAATTGACAACTGGAAGACAACGACCAATATTTTTAATATTTTTAGTTTTACCTTGTTTTGGTCTTACAATTTAGCAACTTTTCAAATGTATTAGGCCTACAACTAAAAAAAATTACCTATTTTTTTATTGATTTTTTTCTGCCCAATAGGGTGTTCATAAAAAATGTTTCGGGACTTTGGGAAATGAATCTTCATACTAAAAGAAAGAAACAAGGTTATATTAAGCGTATGTCCTAAAATGCATATTTACCCAGATATCCACCATTTTGTATTTTATACTAAATATTTTTATCTCTGAAGTTTTTCAACCGTTTTTTATGAAACTTTGGTATTATGGTACACAAGACCTATTATGTAAAAAATTTAATAAAGTTGGTCTGGTTATAAATTTCAAAATGGTGGCCGTTTTAATTTGTACTACTTCTAATAATAACTAAAAAATTGATAATTTAATTTTAAAATGTCAAGTTGGTATACTTTTTAAGAATTTTTAATTCCCTATCAAACGATATCAGACGACAAACAACTGAAATAGAACGTTTTTTGGCTGTAAGATCAGGCAAAATGAAGTGTAGCCTGACTAACTTTGCCTTATTTTACACCTAAAAAGAAATATTTCAGTTATTTTTTGTCAGATTTTTTTGATCTTGGTATCCTTTGATAAGGAAAATGCTAAAAAAAAGTGTATTTTAAATTTTTTTATAAACTATCTATTTTTGAGTTATTTAAGTAAAAAGAATTAATGCTGCCACCATTTTGAAATTTATGATCTGATTAACTTTATTATTTTTCTATTCGAACGGATGGTGTTTTTTTGGAGACATCAAAACAATAAAGTAAATACGTCCCGGGACTAAGTCTTACCATGAGACCTACGATAATAACCTATTCCCAACCTGGAAAATTTGCTAAAACTGTAACATTTAAACAAACAAGCTAAAATTGTACCTATTTAAAATAAACATTTTTTTTATTATTGTAAAAATGTTATAACACAAAATGAGACTGACTACACTGATAGCATTGGAAATTACAAGGTTTCAAACTGAGCAACTTAGGCTAGGATTATACTAGGACGCTGGCGTCCGAGAGGCCAGCGTCCGGGACGCTAGCGGGGCATTAAATCAAATGGGGGCGATTATACTATGGATGCTAGCGTCGGATGCTAAAAAAAGCCACCGGACGCTCGAAGCTATTATGTAGGTGGCATGGTAAGACATAGGCCCGGGACCGATTTACTTTTTCATTTTGATGTCCCCAGAGGCCAAAAACACCATCCGTTCGTATAGATTTAACTATTATATATATATATATGTCTGTAAACGCGATAACTGGAGTAACTTTTGTCCTATTTTGAAGAAATTTGGTTTTAAGGTGAAGCGTGGGATGAACTTGAATGAGTTCGCGAACCAGCATAAACAGACCTTGGGAACGGCGTTTTATGTTCTAAAAAAGGGGGTTTGTCATTTTTGACCCATAAAACTGAAAAGTTCCCAATTTCTCCCTAGACAATTTTAATGAGCTTAAAACAAATAATTTAGTATATTTAAGTGTTTTTGTACTGTTATCAGTTATGGAGAAAATTAAAAAAGAGTATATTAAAAATTGCCATGTTATTCTTATAGAAAATGCAGTTAAGTGTTGGCATTTGCTTGTGTATGCATATATTTTGATTAAACTTGGCCAATTTGTTTTATACTAAGCTAATAATACAGTATTTACTTTATTAGCCCCCTTAAAGCATCAAACCTTGCTACTCGTTAAACCTAATGTTATTTATATAGATATAAACAAAAAGTGACTAAACATTGAAAATATTTAAATAAAATGGCAGTCCGAGAGGCTAGCATCCCAACACAAATCGCGTCAATTTTCGGCTCGAGGTGGGACGCTAGCCTCTCGGACGCCAGCATCCCGGACGCCAGCATCCCGGACGCCAGCGTCCTAGTATAATCCTAGCCTTAGCAAGTAGGTACCTGAAGTTAACTGTTGAACGACGATTTTGCCGAAACATTTCCTGAAGAAAAATACTGTTTTGAGCTGTTTGCACAAATTTGAATAAGTAATTTGGTCTTACATTATGCTATTTTTTAATTACATTAGTTACAATACACTTTTTCTTAATACTGTATAAAAGAATCGCACTTACAGCTAGATTTTTGACAGTTCTGGGGTCAAAATAAATGGTTTCTCCAGGCTGCAATTGCTGACTCTCAATGTGCAACTCTTCCAGACTAAAGGTAGACTGCAGTCCTTCTACTACACTGATGCTGTTGCATCCTAGGTAGCTGCAAACAAAACAATACCAGCACAATAAGCGACTACTCCGTTTTTAAAATTTAGGCGGTTTAAAGGGAAGGTTTTCCTGGGTTCTCCCAGTTAATTTTTTAGCTTTTATATATATATATATATATATATATATATATATATATATCAGCTGTCGGCTGTTTCATACTTAGAGCGAAGTGGAAGGGATGGAATCGTTTCTCCGCAAATCCCCTAAATTTTGTAATCGGAGCATAAAGCCCTGCACACACCAGAGCGATACTCAGTACGATACTTGAGCGGGCACGATACTTTTTCTTCAAAATTCTCTTGCAATACCAGTGATCCATGCGATACCATGGTGGCTTATGGAGCCGCACACACCAGAGCGAACGGCGATACCGAAACAAATGCGATACTGTAGCGATAGTATCACGGTAACGCTGCATGCACTGTTATAAAAGTGCCTACATCAGCAATCAATGTCTATAACCATGTCATGAAATACATCTGTACCTATACTATCTTTCATGTACATGGCTGGTTTTACATGAGTAGGCCTACACTAACACTACAGAAATATAGAGACGAAATTGCTTTGAACTATTCTTACATATACAACATTTTTCAAGACGGTTCCCTGATCTAGACAAATTGAACAAAATAGCCTATTTAATCTATTTCTATAGATCAGTGAACTGTCTAGAGACGATTTTTTATTACCATATTACAATTTATGGAGTAATATTATCTTATAGGTTAGAGAACAAAGTCTGTGTCTTCAATAACTAATTAAGTAGGTACCGTACCGGTATATTAAAACAAAATTTCAAGAATGGTAATTTAGACACAAATTGATTAAGAGGGTTTTTAAATACAAAATTGTTACCGGTAATGTTTTTGTCAGTTATTGAGTTAACAAATTTACATTGTTCTGTAATTCCTATGGCATATTTCTCTATTATTCATTAACAACATTTTCTTATTGTACCGGTATTGAATTATTCCTTAATGGATTGTCAGAAGCATGTGCACAGACCTGTATATTTACTATGAATGATAGAATAGACAGACAAAGGATTCAGTTACTAAGGCAAGCAATGGCATTTCGCTGATAGTTTATACTGTAGATGTAAGCACCTGGGGAGACTAAACTAGCTCAATAACTTACTCACAGCTTTTTCAACCGTTTTATGTTGTTCAAGCTATCCATTTTGGTGATCTTGTTGTGTTGAAGATGCAAATGTGTGAGGTATTCATTTTTATCAAGATTTTCAATGACTTGAATGTTGTTGCGATGAAGATACAAAACATTAAGGTTTTGTATACTGGATAGGTCCCCCTAAAACAAATTTATCTCTGATGTTTCATTTTCGATGTAGGCTAACTTACTTAGGATATGGTGCCTTTCAAGTTTCTATGACAACAAACAACAAGAAGACATGAATCAAGACAAACATGAGAATAAGGAAAGATAACTTAACCCTATAAAATATTATTCAAAAGTCCATTTAACTTATATTGATATTTAGGAATAATTAATTTTGATAAATTGATGATCAAAATGTATCTATTGTAAAAAAAATATACTCAACTATAACATCAATTGATTTTTCAGGAAGACTTAGATGAGTTATTTTTCTCAGACAATCGTCATTCTTTGATGGAGAAGTTGCCTTTGGCTTGACAGAACAATTCTTTTTTACATAATCGACAGTTAAGCGAACCATTTACTCTAATGTATACCTATAAATTACACCAACAAAAGCATTTATTTTAATATAACAAGCCAATTAATTAACTTAACTCCCAACATGATAAAAGTTCTAACAACAAAACAAAACAACTGAACTAAACTAACTGAACTGAATCTGACAGGATGTGTAACAGTAAACAGTACTCACGCTGTTGCTGTTACCGGTTACTATGGTTACGCTTTAGCTAATGGCATGGCATGGAATAATGAATTGCATTGCTCTTTAATTTGTGCTCAGAGTACGAAACATAACGGCCGCCTTTTAAGGTGGCCGTGAATTCTTCCTTCTTGACAATGAAAACCAAAATTATTGTTTGATTACTAAAGCCACACACATTACCATGTAAACATATTTATTATCAGGGACTCCACAGCCATCAACTCTCTGAGACTTCATCGACAGCCTTGCCTTCAAGCAAGACTTGAAGAAACGGTGGATGTTTCCATGGTGGAGCACATCAGGGACCTTGTTGCTGAGGATGTCCCCCACCCCCAGATCTGCGAGTAGGCACTGAAACGAAGTTGACGTCTACAGGTAGCTGAGCTACCAGGGCTTGAACCTACAGCTGTCAAGAAGTATAAGCTCCCAGCGAGCAGGATGCTTCGAGTGAAGTTGCGCAAGTCACCACAGTCAACAGGAATCTTTAATTACCTCTTCCTTGATCGAGACCAGCAGAGCCGGATAGGTTGCGTCAATTTTCTATTTACACTATATACACTAAACTTCCATAGATTGAAATATGAAAACTATGTTAAGTACCTACTTTGGCAGTGGATGATTTTGCCGCAGTCTTATTAAAGTTTCTCATTAAAATAGTCTTGTAGGCTGCAGTATGGTTTCTCCCTCAACAAGTTTTTCAGGGCTGTACGAAAGGCTTTTTCCCATTGGTTTTTGATTGACGTAGGCAGGTGGTTGTAAATACTGCAGGACTTGACTTGGACTGTCGCGACGGTCGGCCGTCTGACAGACAGCGCTACACACTCACAGACCAGACAAAAATAGTGGCGAGGGAACCTTCCTTAGACCGTCTGTGGTCTGAGGGTTCGACCATCAGACACGCAGACAGTCTGGTCCGAGGAAATCGTTCCTCAGACAGCCCCACACACGATACGACAAGTGCCAGACACCAGACCGGACTGACCGGAGAGTCTGGTCTGAAGTTGACGTATACAGTGGTCTGGCAGTGTGTGGGGGGCTCAAAATACCTTTTATCATAGACTAAACAACCCAAGTAATCCTACTAATATTATGATGAGATTATAAGTGAGAAAGTTTGGATGTATGGATGGATAAAGTATAATGGAGTATGAGGCTATGCTTTTATTGACTACTTATCCACTTGCAATAAATTGTACAGTATTGTCTCAACTGGAAATAGCCTTTTGAACGTAAAATATTTTGAATGTGTATAAATAAAGTAGATGATGTTGTGAAATATTTTTCAATTCACCCTTATTTAAATTTTACCATACTTTGTAATGGATCTTCAACGAAGTAGGGTTACTTATGTAGAACATATTTATGTATTTTTGTTGTTTTTTTATGTTTTAAAATTACTATGTTTTATTATTACTATCATTTAAATCTGACGATATCATGCATTTTGAATGTGGTTTTCATCACAATAAAATGTTATGATTAGTTAATGATTATACATCTCTTAAGGGATTTAATTTTACTACCCTAACTAAGAATATACATCCCATCTTGGGAGACTATGTGTGTGACATAAGTCTCCAAGGTTTATAATCAATGGCAGTATTATGGATTTCGATATTTTTAATCAGAGGCAGTTATCCTACTCTATGATAGTGACTTGCAAGCTCATTTGTTTTTTTTTTTCTGTTAGCAAACGCCTAATGTCATACAGGTTAGGGGGTTTGCTTATACACTAATCACTCAAATAGAGACAGCACAAATCTTCTAATAACAGTGAAGTTAATTTATATTTTAACACCAACAACATTGTAAACAAAGTAATTTTTGCCAATCATATAAGTGGTCCTGGCTCAAGATGACGACTGCTACAGATACAGTCAGAGAGAAAGCTCTGCAGGATTACAGAAAGAAGTTGTTGGAACATAAAGAAGTTGAAAGCAGGCTGAAAGAAAGTAAGTTATTTTTATTATTAAAATCCAAAGCAAAGCCTAGGCCTACCTCAATTTTACTACCTGGATAAGTTAGGTATACAGGAAACATGTTTGCTGGGGGGTAGCGTTAGGCCTAAACCTAAACCAACTTTGAGGACTAGGCTGGCCTTTATTTGAGTTGTGTAATTGTCCCTATAAATTTACTGTCAAGTCTACAAGCTTATTGCCAGGAATCTGAATCATTTGCAGGCCAGATTGTAATATCTAGGCTAGAGGTTTTCTGGTGTTGATCATGTTGTTGAACGAGTAAGACTATAGGCTGATGTTTCGGATGCGTAAGTTAGCAGTTATCTTTCTTCAAGGCAAACTACTCAACTTAAGAAGGTAGTGCACATTGAAGGTACAACCTATTTTCAAGAGTTATTTCGGCCATTAAGATATTTACAATTGGGGTAGGGGTGGCTGCTGTTCTGCATGTTTATTGCCGTAAACTTATATACTCAGCCTAAGTTATTTTTTACAGTGAGAGAACAACTTAAAGACCTAACAAAGCAGTATGATAAGTCTGAAAATGATCTAAAAGCTCTTCAGAGTGTTGGACAGGTAAGACAAATCAATTTCCTAATTATTTAGGACTTACCCTAGGTCTAAAATTACATGCATGCATCAAACCAAGTGTTAGGATTGAGCTTATTACCATACCAATCATTGAGTTTTACGTTAAATATCCCTTACTAGGCTATTAAACTTATTTAACTTTTTCTAGTTATTGTTGGCATTGGTACCTACTGTTAAAGGGAACATTCATTTCTATCGATTTGATTTCTTTTCGATATATGGATATTTATTTTGTTTTTTGATCCGATATACCAATATTAACGAACGAGATATCAGCTGACAACTACGATAAGTGAATATTGTTCAGTATCAACAAACAATTTAAAATATAATTGAAATGAAACTGTTCTAAGCTAACCTTACCTAGCCAACCAAACTTGCACACACACAACACAACATTTCCAAATTCCGTTTCATATTACCCACATGCCTTTTCTGCTATCAAACAAAATTTTGAAATGGTACAGCAAGTTTGGTTGGTTATGAAATGAAACTAAATGCTTTATTGTCGTTAAGACTAAGTACAAAGTCCATGACAATCGTCAAAAGAAAAAGAAAACAATCAAGATGGCAACTTGATGTTAGGTATGTTAGGTTAGTTTAGAACAATTGAATTTCTGAATCCACATAATATATTATTTTTTCCTTAAAAATATCAGTTTTCATTTTGTAATTTAAATGTGTTTGAAGATATTAAAACAGAAAGAATGGATCATAAAGGAAAACAAATAGCCCGCCGCAGAAAACCTGCAGACTAACTTAAGCAAATTTTAACTTCTCTGATTAATTTTTTAATAAAATATTTCCATAAGTCATAAGTTATTTATTCCCAAAATAACATCAGATTTAACGAGTGCTAAGATTTGCTGCTACCGGGAAGGTAAACAGAGTTTTTGACCGTACGTCAATAGTATAGGATGAGATAAATAAATTTGCAAAATTTTGTCAATCAATAAACAAGTAAACTACGGTACAACAGTTTTAATTTTCTGAAAATCACATGGAAATTTAAAATTACACTATTTTTTTAATTTTCTCTGTGACCGTTAGGCATACAACTGCGCTTCAATAACCTATACAAAATTATTTCTTTTTTTAAGCTCTACAAAACAGTAAAAAAAGTAATGGCAAAACTTTTTTTTAGGGTAAAAAATGGGAAAACACAAGTTTTACCCCTTAAACCCCCGTTCCCATGGTCCGATTATGTGGTTCGCGAACTTGTTAATTGGATAGTTAAAGTATTGAGTTTTTGCGTGCACTAAAACAATTAGACCCTAGAAGGCTCTAGTTTTTTACTTAGTTGAACCCATAATGTGTCTTAACTATTGAGTGTCGAACTATCAAAGTTCTACTGTACTGTCATATTAATGAGTTAGTGTGAACTATACTCACTTTTTAAACTACAGTCAGTATTTTATTTTAGCCTATAGAATATAAGGATGCCGAAACAGGAACCTCTTGTTTAGTCACACCACGATCTGCACGCAAAATTTCACTATCTTTTATGATTGCTTCAAAAGAAACTGATGAACGACCTCACAAAAAATACCCCATAAATAATTGACCACTAAAATCCAATCACTAAACACTCTTTATTCTTAGTGGGGCTGTAGATTCTCATTTAGGCCTACATCGTTATTGGCTACTTAGACAAGATTAATGGTCATGCAGGGGTGGGATCGGTTAGAATAGCTGCTGTGGAAGAAGTGAGGAACTTGGAGCTATGGTCATATTCGAATTACAATTCTTGTATGATAACAATTTGAAATACTGGTATGATTATAATCCAACTTGTTATCTTCTTTAATGTAAAAAGTATAAGTTTAAAAATAAATAAAATACAATAATTTAATGTTTGTGTTAGCCTAGTCTAAGTAATTACATCAAAAATGTCAATAAACGATTATTTGGCTGTCCTACTTTAAATATCTTTGCATTTTTAGATTGTGGGGGAGGTTCTGAAACAGCTCACTGAAGAAAAGTGTAAGTAAATAATCCAAATGAAAAGAAATACCTACTAGTTATGCTGTTGGAACTTAAGTTACCTATATAGCCTAGTTAAATTGAAATAGCAGCAAACTCTTTTATTATACCTACAAAGATTGACTATATATGTCTAACAATAAATAAACTAGGTCTAGAGGCCTAAAAGCTCTACAGGGTCCAAGACGGAGATATTTTTATTTGTTATCTTAAACTATAACTTTGAATGGAATTCAATAAAGCCCAACTTAATGTTGAATGTAGAATTTCTTCTGCCTCTATACACCTTGGGTAGAAGAAATTCCACCTCGGTAAAAACACAAAGCTTAATCATGTTTGTAACTAACCCAATACAAGTCAATATTTCTTTAGGTTGAGAATTTTCAGTGGTTTTTGTCAAAACTACATCCTAGCTTGCACTCTACAAATCCTCAACAATATTGATGAGTTTTCTTCTGAAGTTGCCATCCACAAGCACGGTACAAGGCAACCATCCAAATATTTGATTCCTCCAGTTAGGCTGGCCAGAACTAAGAAATGCTACATTAAAGCCATCAAGGTGTACAACGAATTGCCCAACTTCTCAAAAGCCTGGTCAGAAGCATACTACTCCCAGGGCTAGAGATATACAAGGGCTGGCTCACTCCTTTGATGTTATCGGTCGCCGCCTGATCCTACTTCCCCTCCCCCGCCCCTCCTCAGTGACGTAGCGGAGATACATCGGCGCGAGGCGCGACGGTAGCCTAGCATGGCAGTGCATATTTCGCCCGGCATCTACGTACATATTAATAATTGTGTTTATAATAATGTAATTTTATAGTGTGATTTATAAAGCGGGTTTCGTTAACCCTCCAACTTGCAATGGGCAAACTCTGTAGTGGCAAGGCATTTTTGGCAATTTTGCAATCATATTTTCGAAAATTCAACTAAACCAACAGATCAAACCTATGAACCGTATTTATTATTTCCAACTTGAAGTGTTCGTAATGAAATGAAGAATTTGAAAATGGCAACGAAATAAATATTAAAAATATTGTAGAAAATATTGTCAGTAGGTAGAAAAATTGCTGCATGAACCAAAAATGTTTCATAAGATATACAAATTGTTTGGAATTTATTTCCCTACATGGAAATGTAAAAAGATTCCAATTTCCATTTATACAAAGTTATGGCCCAAAAACAATAAAATGACAAGTTTCATGATTTTGCACAACAAATTTCTAATAAAAAAACAAATAAATGTATTATCAAGAGATAAAGTAAAAGTAAACATTTTTAGGCAATAATATTGGAGATCAAATGAAGTAAGAATTGTTTATGTATACTGATAATTTCAATAGATGTTTATGACTTTTAATAAATGTTTATATTTGTCTAGAAAAACATTTTGTTATTCACACGTATATATTATTTTAAAAACCCAAACCAACTATATAAAATGAAAGTAAACTTATTCCCCTACATGAATATACATAGTTATAAAGGCAAATATACAAAAATAAATATTTTATATTTTTTTTTATAAAATGCTGCTGTTAATTATGACAAAATGTTTCAAAAACGGGCTAAATGTAATGTCCCAGACCTCAAATTAAGTAAGTGTATCCACATAAAACAGTTTATAAACTAAATAAGTACAATTTTTACAACTAATAAATACGATTAAAGTGATAAAGTCTAACCCGCGATATTCGTTGTTGGTAAACAGTCAATGAAGTTCACAAAAACTGGCTAAAAAATAGTGTCTCAAGTTTCTAAAAGTAATGTCACATTACAGTCGAGGCACAATAAATAATATCGTAACTAAACATTTACAACGTATAATCACGATGTAAACTGATAAAAAGTAAAATCACACCAAAACTCGACTTTTTAGTTATTGGTCAACAGAGATTGAGGTTAGTTAGTCAGGCAAGCTGCCATTGCTTGAGACGGTTTTCAGGAGCTGTCAGGAGATCAGGTTCAGGTACTGCTGTGAGGGGTGCACCAATCAGGAAATGTCCGGGAGTCAGTGCTGCGATATCCGAAGGATCATTTGAAAGAGGTGTCAGTGGTCGGGAATTGAGCATTGCTTCGATTTGGGTCAACAATGTGATGAATTCAATGTGTGTTTAATGTATTTTTGCAACAATATGTTATTTTAATGAATTGAAATTTGTAGGGCCTATAATAAAATGTAATTGATTAATTGAAATTATTTTCCTTCCTGTAAAAGTTACAAAATACTAAGTATAGGTAATGTATTATTATACTACCTCAATGTATTTTATATAACCTCAATGAATCCTAAAAGGTATGAATAAGTAATAAATAAATACAATTAATAATCCATACATTAAGATACATTCGAGCAACACGAACACAGATATTACACAGTAACTTTAATGCATTGGATCAATAACTACAGTAATCTTAGCCATCGCTTTACATTCCACTCCCATCCTTAAATATCTAGTAAAGTTAATTTTTTACTTATTAAAATTTATGTTATACGCAATCCTATTTGAAAATCAATTACTTTTATAAAATACATTAATACCTAATAAAAAATTTCCAACATAGAGCTTAATAAACGCTAAATGTGCGGTAATACCAGTGCTCACACAGGCAAAGATATACGGTGCCGGGAGCCCGAGGTATCGCCGTGACGTCACAGCGGCGGAGTGGTGGGGAGCCACCTGGCATTACTTTCTAAGCTCGCGTGGCCTAGCCCTTGTATATCTCTAGCCCTGTACTACTTCCCGGATAAGAGTTTTGATTACCCGCTATTAGGCCTAGCCTGAATTTTTACCAATCCACAGCCAAGTTTTGCTTTTAATGTGATTAAGAAAGTTGTTTAAGAACATCAATCTCCCACAGGGAAAGTTGAACTGGCAGTAGGTTAAAGATGGTGTCTTGTTCTCAGTTATCGTTAAGGCCACCAACGGACCGAGGTACGTGGTGGGTTGTCGCCGCCAGCTGGACAAGGCCAAGTTGAAGTCTGGCACCAGAGTAGCTCTAGACATGACTACGCTGACTATCATGCGACATCTGCCTCGTGAGGTCGACCCTCTCGTGTACAACATGAGCCATGAGGACCCTGGACACGTCACGTACTCTGCAATCGGAGGACTGAGTGAGCAAATCAGGGAGTTGCGAGAGGTGATGTTGCTTATGTTTTGAAATCTTTTTAGAACAGTATTGTATAAAATCACTGCTAGAGCGCTCTACCCAGTACTATTGTGAAAAGTGCTAGACCACTCTAGGCAATCTGAACTTAAATTACGTCTTGGTAGACAGTCATGTCTCCCTTATTTTTCAATATATTTGAGGGATCTCTTTCCTATTTTTTACATAAATGATAACTATTTTGATTGAATTTTATTTGTTATAGTCATTTTAACGCTGACCAAAATGGCATGACTACCAACGCTGTAAAACTTATAGAAAAGTTTTTGCAATTGTTGCCACTTTCCCTACAAAATTTCCTAAATATCTACAGATAGGCCTATAGTCTACACCTGTGATCCAATAACTATATTTTTGTGTTATTTGGAAGAAAATATTAATTTTCCACCTCCCTTGCAGAAGTAAACTCTATTTCTCCCATTGTTGTTTAAGGCTATTAATTTATTCAAAATTGAATAAAATAGGGCTTGTCCTATGGCTAAGCCCCTAGGTATCGTGTTAATCTCCTAAACTAACCTCATTTGCCAGTATGTACAAACTTGAAAAGGTGATCTAATGTATTTTAAGGCCGTTTGTATGCAGCCTTTGGCTGCGCTAATTAAAGTTGGCATGTGCGGTGTTCGTGTTAATGAAGTCCATCTATTTACTGGAAATTGGCTCAGTCTCAGTCTGGACGGTTGTAATAATATAAACAATGCAGAGAACTAAAACCTTTGATATTGAGTGTTATTGTACACTACTCTAAGCATATTGCAGTCCTTACTGCCGTCAGTCAACAGTAAATAGTTTACAATTTACGTTTTGTTTTGCTCTTAAAAGACGTAGGCGTTAAACAAATCAAATGGTAGAAAGCATATGTCAGTTTGCTGATTCCATATATATTTACATGTTCTGGTTGTTTGTCTCAGGTTATTGAACTGCCGCTTCTGAACCCGGAGTTGTTCCAGAGAGTCGGTATCACTCCTCCCAAGGGTTGTCTGCTGTACGGACCTCCGGGCACAGGCAAGACTCTACTGGCCAGAGCCGTGGCCAGCCAGCTGGATGCAAACTTTTTGAAGGTAGCGCCAGAAAAATATTCAGCTAAAGCTGTCATTTATGTTTGGATTGTTTTTAGCATTTTTGTGAGGATAGCAGACTTATCTGAATGGGAAAGAGGAACCAAATTATTTTTTTAATACGCCTATGAGTATTTGATTGTATGTGTACTTATCATACAAAACCGTTTCCCTTAATAAACAATATTAACTTTCTGAGAATGTTACCTTCTTTAGCTAGGTACCGTAATGCTCTAGATACTCTTTAGGAAAGTGCTTTTAATAAAACCAAACTGACATAAAAAGAATAGTATGCTGTTAAACTTGTTTGTTTTCTACGTTGTATTCAGTTCATATGGTTTTGTGAGCAAAGGAATATCATCAATACTGCTTGCCTCGTATTCAATGAATACAGTACAGTACTTTGAAGCTTACAAAGACCTCTGCCACCCTTAGTGTACCTGTTTGTCATGTCAACTCATATTCTTAGTCATCTTTGTTGCTCAGGTTGTATCGAGTGCCATTGTTGACAAGTACATTGGAGAGAGCGCTCGATTGATCAGAGAAATGTTCAACTATGCTCGTGATCACCAGCCTTGCATTATATTCATGGATGAAATTGACGCCATTGGTAAGACATGAACTAAGTTTACCAAAAGAACATCTCCAACTAAAATATTTCAACAAAGTAAAATAACTCAAATCCAATCCAACCCTGTAAGTATTTCATAAGTATATCTTAAATGCAAATACATGTAGTATTAAATGAAAATCATATTTTCTTCTTGATCCATTATTTTAATTATATGTCAATTTCTCATCATTTGAGTTTTGAATTTTAATCTCAAAAATTTCAAATGAAGTAACTGACACCCTGCAAAAATAAGCTATAATATGAAGTACATGGGTTGGTGGAGACTAGGGATACCAGGATCAGAAATGTTGTGGGTTGGTGTATTGCCGTATGACATTTATCACGTTCATTCTTGTACTGTTAGTCCACTGTTTGCTCGATACATCCCATTCACAAGCCAGAGGCCCATGTGGATGAGGATATCCTGTTTATGTTTTGTTTATATCGTGTTATATCCTGTTTATGTTTGTGTGTTAGGTGGACGTAGGTTCTCCGAAGGAACGTCTGCTGACCGAGAGATACAGAGGACGCTGATGGAGCTTCTCAACCAAATGGATGGTTTTGATTCACTTGGCCAGGTAGATTTGCTGTCCATCAAGCTTTTTAAAGAATAATGTTGTTTACTAAATGTTAGGAATGGCTTTAATCTTAACGTTGTGCCAGTATTAGTTGTATTGATGTATAAGACTTACCCAACAAACCTATAGTTTTTGTTTTTAATCAGTTTTAAAAATTTAGATTGCATTTTCTGCACATTGACGGCAAAACTTTTTGGCACAGAAAAAACATTTTGAAATGTTAAAAGTCTATTGATAAATTTTTAATAAAAATAAGGTAGATTTAACGTATTCAAAGAATCAAACAACTTGTGTTGATTTAAATTTATAATTACCGTATTCCAATTATTGTAGCGTACAGTAGCTCTTAGCCAGATGAACTCTGTATGGTTTCAAATGAAAGGGAAACTAATTAGAGGCATCAATCCACTTAATACAGGCACAGAAATTTCCAAATACTTTTACACTACTTTTAGAGAAAATGTAAAGTACATGTAAAAATAGAACCGGAAAACTAGGGAAAGCTCCAGGCTGTATATATTATATTTAGCATTACTATTTTAAGCCTACCTTTAACAATTTAGTTGAATCCTGAAGGTATAATGATGCCTATTACAGAAAATGTTATTTTGCAGGTTAAAATGATCATGGCTACCAACCGTCCGGACACCCTGGACCCTGCCCTCCTGAGACCTGGACGTTTGGACCGTAAAATTGAAATACCTTTGCCCAATGAACAAGCTCGCCTAGAAATTCTCAAAATCCATGCTGGACCAATTGCTAAGCATGGAGATATCGGTATGTGGCCCTACCCTACACCTCTCATTAATTTCTTGTTTCTAGTTTGCCTTCGTAAGACAGAATTATTAATAGTATATTATCCATATACAGCCTAGGTTTGGCAGTGTGTGTAAATGCATTTTATTGATTAAATTAATTGCTCTATGGTTTGGTAATATTTGTTCAGACCTACAGTAAGTAAAGGAAATATATATTTTTAATGTATTAAATTGAAGATTGAGAAACTAGACTAAACTTTGGGACTTATAAAATGTTCAGTCGCAGTCGTGATCCCAGAAAGGTTCGCAAAAAGCTGAACTAATATTTAAATTATTTGTTTGTAGATTATGAAGCTGTTGTCAAGTTATCTGACAGTTTCAATGGAGCTGACCTTCGTAATGTTTGTACGGAAGCTGGATTGTTTGCTATCCGAGCCGAAAGAGAATACGTGATCCAAGAAGACTTCATGAAAGCTGTTCGTAAAGTCGCTGATAACAAGAAACTTGAGTCTAAGCTTGACTATAAGCCTGTCTAAGAGTGTTGTGTTGTAAAATAATTTATTCAATAAAATTTTGGTTTTTCTATCTATATTTTAAGTTAGAGCTTTTTTCTAGCCCGATTCCAGTAGGCTACTGAAAGTTAAAATCTAGTAGTAACATTGGAATAGTTTTTATAGCTCAAATGAAAATGATCAAGAATCATGAAAAAATATCAAGTTTAAAAAATTTACCCCAAGGTTCATGTTTTGAACTAATTTGGTTGGTTCTATTTTATATTTATTACCACTGTCTAGTAACAATGCGCAATGTGTACAGGTATTATTTGAGTGGAGGAGAGGAGCTAACAATTAATAGACATATAAAAATCATCCTCATTGTTTATTGCTAACAATGAGTTTGTTTGGGGTGGAGTTGATGCAACTATTGAAAAAAGGTATAAAAACCCATTAGATTTTTACTAACTACAGTAGAACGCCGCTAATCGGATATTGGCTAGTCCAACTCTTCGCTTAATCCAACCATGCCATCGCTTATCAGTGGCTATGTTATCGTGGTAGGCTAATATTGTGACTGTTTGCATTGGTTGTATGGGGATCTTCACCGTCTACCACAATGGCAGCAGAAATTCTTGTTTATACCTTGCAATCTCGGATACATCAAGTTTTCATCGATCATGGAATCATTTATCGTCATCTTCCATGATTGTGGCAACATATTGATCGTCTCACACGGTTAAGGGAACATTATCATTGTCTTCTGGCATAAACAAATTTTACGGTCACGGAACAAATTATCATCATCTTAGGCAATCGAGGCAAAATCCTGAACACCCCTCGTAGTCGGGTAGGCACCGTCTTCCATGATTGCAGCAAAATAGTAAACATCCCCCAAACTCATAGGGACAATATCAGATGGTCCCCCGCAATCACGAAAACTATCGTTGTTGACTGCAATACTGCAAACTCCTGAAAATCTCCTGCAGTAAAGGAAACATTATTGTTGTCTCTTGCGATCAACATTGAACCTCTCCTGCGATCACGGAAACATTATCGAGTTCTGAAATTGTGATAAAATATTAAATGTTTCTTGTTGTCACTGGAACATTTAGCCTACATTGTTTTCTAAGATAGTGAACGTTCAATTACCAGTTGAGCAATTAATTTGGTAGACCCTCTAGCCTAATTTAATATGCTCCTCTAAGGTACCTATCAATATTCTGACTATGTTCTCTTAGGTGATGGATTAGCGGGGTTGTACTGTAATGATATTTATGGTAATATATATGCAGACCCAATGTTAATTTAGAGGCTATTTCAGACGTAAATTACTCTTATAAAGAAATAGGTAAAATAGGCAATTTTTTGACAGGCTGACTGTTTTCATCAGCTCACCCATTCTTTTCAATATCTACATTCCTTATCAAAACTGCTGAGAGTCAAGGCGTATGAGCCTTGGCTGAGTCTTCTACTGCTAAAGACAGAGCAATAAGTGACGTATCTACTGACCCCTGTTTGCCAGATTCTGGTAATTGAAGGCTAAGTAACTCAATACTGGAAAGTGGAAGAAGTGGATGAAGTTCTCAATCAGGTAAAGTGGACAGTAAGCTTTCTGTAAGTAATTTAGTAATTTTGGTCACTAAACTGTTTCCAGTGAAAATTAGGCCTAACTTATTTGTTGAGAAACTTGGGATACTTAAATAAATAAAACTAAGCGATTAGAATATGTGAGCAACTTTAATTAAGCTTTAACCTTTTTATTGGGTGGTTCTGTAGCAGATAATCTGAGCTCTTTCCGTCTGAGATAATCTTGAACATTTTCAAACTTCCTCTTGAAAAGAAGATTCACAACATTTTTCTTCTGGTCAGCAGTCATATTTTGTTTATTTATTTCCTCCACAGCTTTAGCCACACACCCGGTCATGTTGTCTTGAAACTTGAATACTTCTAGGTTAAAAACCATGCTTTGCACAAGTACAATGTCATTTAAACTCATAACTAGCCATAAAATATTTGAACTCAACGACAAGCCCCATGGATGGCTGTTTTGAAAAGGTATGTTCTGGATAAAATTGCAACAAAACTTATCATTCTCACTTGAGCACTTGTACACTAAACAAGCATTGAAGTTGTCAACGGTTACACAAATTAGTGAAGTTGAACTATCCAAAGAAGTTGTTGCAGCATCAGTAATGGCTGCGATGTTACTTTCTGATTCCTCTTCTCCTTCACCTTTATCTTGACCAAATATTTGGGAGACATTGCAAACAGTTTCTTCTTTTCCAAGTAAATAATTCCAAAACCTAATTGTGCCATCACCAGAAGTTGAAATCAAATATTTTGAATCATGAGGGAGTAGACGCAAAGCACTTACGAATTCAGAATGGCCCAAGCAAAATGCAACAATATTGTAGCCACTGGGATAGCTGGACACCCTTATTTTCTCGTCCCTGTCACAAGTTATGATTAACTGTTCATCAGGTGTAACTAAAATATCTAACAAAAGAGAAAGGTGGCCCAATATGAGTTGTCCAGAGTTATCATCTGATTGAGGTTGGAACAAGTACACATCACCAGATTTGTCAGCAACAACTAGATGATTGTTGACAGGGGTGAATCTAACTTTGCCTGCACCTCTGATAAGCTTACATACTTTAATAATAGAGGGCTTACTATCTTGTAGGTCAACAACACAAAGAAGTTTCCCCAGAGTGCAGAATGCCATCAGGTGTCCATTAGAAGAAATGTCACAACATGCCAGACCTATCCCTATTTCTTCACTATCACTTGATGCTTTATTATTAGTATGAGTATCATCATTAACTTCAGTTATAATCGTTTCACCGATATCTGAATGTTTAAAAGGAAACAACACTCCATCACTTAATCGAGTAATTACAGTTTTAGTCCCGCAAGATACAGATACTACGTCGGAATTCGCACAAATACTTGCCATTGTCTGATCAAGACATAAATAGTTTACAGCACAATAATTAACTTCCTAGACACACAGACACAATCTAAATAAATATTTAACAAAGTTAGGTTAACACTGACTGACTGTAAATCTCCAACCCTAACCTCAATTCAATTTATAAAAAACGTAAACTTACTGACGACTATGAACAACTGACAAAATTTAGCTTCCCCACCATAGCATACCGTGCTGTATGAAAAAAGCATAGAGTGTCTACCCACTGATCCATAACTATGCACAGTACAGTACCATGTTTTATCTATGACAGTACTATAACAACATTATGCTCGAGATGGATCTCTATGGGTAGAATTTTCATGGCATCTGTTTCGTAAATTTACAGACACAGTTTTTAATCTTTTTCATATTTGAAAAATTTCAAAAGGACCAGGATATAATACAATCGGTTTTATAAATGTAGGCTAACTTATGCTTATATGTGCCATCTTGGCAATCCATACATTTATTTGACTGTAATGTAACCTATTGCATATTGCATGCAATAGTGAAAGTCAAACCACTCAAAGCACAGAAAACATAGTAGTATGTTTTCTGTGGTCAAAGTCAGAATAACAATGGTAGAATTAAAGGTAAGACGGCCGTGATATAGCCCAAACAATAACGATGATTTTTTGTTGGTTTGTTGTGCCACAAAAGAAGAAAAGCCATTTTTACTCCGTTCAAAGTTCTTATTTTTTCGAATTTAGTTAAAAATACACTACCAACCGTCCAGTCAACTTATTAATGACGCTGCAAAGAATTTAAAACCACACGAAATAAAATTCAAAGATCACCCTCAAGAAAGAAAATCGAAGCAATCTTCCTCTTTGACAAAAACTTACGAAGCAACCAACAAATAGAAGTTAGAAGTGGTTGCTATTTGAGTTCTAAAATGGATTCATTCCGGTATGTTTTTTCCTTCGTGATGGCATTATTAATGTTATTCTTAGGTTGTCGGTTACTCATCACTAAAATAAATTAATCACAATTTACTAAAAAATGTCGAGGTATATTTCAAGTTTACATCAAAACTCATCTTCATTCTTTTTAGTGATGAGTAACCGACAACCAAAGAATAACATTCTATTCTAAAATGGAGTAATTGTGAAGTTACATATACTTCGAACACCAGCCTAAAAGGGTACGATGTCATAGCTTATAATGTCATAGCTTATAATTGCGAATTTGTTGCATAGCTTATAATCTTGAAAATGTGGCATAGCTTATAATGGGAAATGTAAATTGTTCCATAGCTTATAATCGTGGAAATGTGGCATAGCTTATAACGGTTTTCTTAATATGTGGCATAGCTTATAATGCTATAGCTCAAATGTGCTGCAGCTTATAATATCTCGTTTGTTCTATAGCTTATAATTTTAAAAATGTGGCATAGCTTATAATGCGCGGGAATGACGTCATAGCGGATGGAACAGCTGATTGCTCATCAGTAAACAACCAAATTATCGTGCGATGGTCCTCAAATTATCGTACGGACTAGCAGCCACTACTCGGCAACAGAAGTTGCGTTAAGTGCAGCCAACATAGCAAAACCCAACATATTTTAAAACTCCTGAAAGCAAAAAGGTTATATGTACTCGATGTATATTAAAACGTGTTTTTGTTTAATAGTAGAAAAATAATTTTGGGTATAGGTTAGGTTAGGTTAGGTTAGGTATAGGTCTATGGTATAGGCCTACATTGTTATTCTTTAATTATGTAAACTGAAACATATTATCAAAAGTTTGATACTGCTCGTGATACTAAATTATACTATGCATTTTTTAACAAAGTTTTATTTACAATCGTATAATAACTAGTTCTTATTTTATAATATTTATTTTGTAATATTGTGTAATACCGGCACAAAAATACTTTATCGTATGCCACATAAGTAGACTTCTCATCCCATTGTTAATTTTGAAGCTTGTTTTCCTTGTCTATTTCATGTACACAATACTACAAATAAGAAATAGGATAGTTTATAGGTACTCATCATTACTGAAGACGTAATCTTGTTTCTAATATTTTAGGGGTATTTTCATTTGTGCTTTACTGTTTGGTTTTATAATTAGGACTAGGAGACCAGTTATTGTTTATGATTATATCTTTTATATGGT